AGAGGGAACTCTTCAGAATAAAGTCAATCAATGATGAAAACAGAAAACAAAAAAGGAAATTTCAAACTTTCTCTAAACTGGTGACGATACTGATGATTGTAAAGCACTTCAAAATTCTGCAGGACCTTATTAAATTATAGTCAATAATAAGTTAGTGTTCATTTACTGAGCATCTATCAGGTACTACGAAGCAACATGCAGTTAGAAGACCACCAGTCACAATTTCCTATCCACTAAACTACAATATAGCAGAAGAGATAAAAAGGGCACTTGGTTGAAACAAATAGAAAACAAAAATAAGCAACATTGCTCTTTGCTATTATACTCAAATAAATTTTAACGGAAACGTGTAAGTTACAATATAATGCTTTAAAACATTATAAAATCTATAACTGTTTATGTGCTATTATCTAGATTACACTAGCCAGAATATCTCAGTTCTAAACTGCTTACAGAACAAAAACATAGGTACACAGAAGTATTGAATTACTCTAGGTTTTGCACGGTGCCGAAAGGAACAACAAAAAAATGCCTTTCTGAGACGTAGTTTTCTTCCCCAGTTATGTATCACTAAGAAAAAGAGCTAGATCAAGACTCTGTAAGATTGTTTCTCTTAAACTGAAACCTCAATCTGACTTAACCATTAAGGAGTTGGCTTTTCTCTGATAAGAGATTCAGATGGACCCTACTAAGTGTTAGATGAAAATTTAAAATATTCTTTTTACTGATACTGTCTACTTTTACCTTTGAGATTCATAAAATATAACAATCCTCTGGACCTCGGTTTTCTGTGTCAAACAGAATTTATCCTCTCTATCTTTTCAGGGTCAGAGCAGTTTTGAGAATTAAATGAGAAGGCAAGTAATATTCAAATATTACTTTCTTTTCCAGGCAGGGACCAAGCTGAATCAATCCATGTTATACCATTTAGAGGCAACAAGATGCAGTGAAATTAATAATGGCCTGGAATTCTAGGAGCCTAATTTTAGTTTCTTCTCTGTGCCTCAACTGAAAAAGTGGAAAAAATGAGAGATTGGACCACATGTTCTTTAATGTCTTTTTCACTAGTAACATTCTAACTTGATGAAAAACACACACATAAACACACACACACACAGAACATACTGGATGCAGGTGATGTTCACTAGAAAATTTTCCTTTGTAAGGGCACAAGTCAAATTCTCTTTAACAACTACAGCCTCCAAATCAGTGAACCTGCAACCATCTCTATTCTGATCAAGTATTTACCTTGAAAGATAATAAAGAGGAAACTGAGAAAGGATCCAATTTCAATAAATTACCATATCTGTCTATGACTCAATCACAGTACAAAACAAACAAGAAAAGATGATTAGAGTTGAACAGCCTTGAAAATGGCACTGAAAAAGGAAAATAACGTGAAGGCTAGAAATAACTCTACAGAAGAATATTCTGTCTGATAAAGGTGCATTTTACAGTGTAGACAGGTTTTCAATAACATTGTAACAACCTGTCTAGCAATCTGGGTGTGGGGTAGGGAAGATGGAATAGGAGAAGAAGAGAAGTAATAAATTTCAACTAGATAATGAATTTAAATGTGGAAAAAAACAAAATATGGGTGAATGTTTAAATAATCTGGGGGCAGGAAATCAACAACAAAAACAAAAAAGTAAACAAAACGTAAGGCAGCCAATCTATAAAACTGAAAAACATACTGCCATAGGAAAGAGCTAATGCCCTTCGGAATATATGGCCTATACAAATCAATAGATACCAAAAGTAGAAAAAAGTAGGCATAGAACATAAAAATTTAATTACTGCAAGTAAAGTAAAACTAGAATCCAATAAAGTATTTTTTCGATCACCAATTTATTGGCTTTCTCTCTCTCTATATTTAGAAGGAAAAACAAAAACAAAAAACCAACGCAGTACCTGAAGGGAAATGGACAGTCTCAAAATTTTTGGCTAAAGTATAAACTGACAAAATTTTCTGAAAGCCTTTGGTGACAACACCAAAAAAAAAACAAACAAAACTTTAAACACGTCCATCTCTTTGGATCCAGGAACATCCTAAGTAAATAATAGATGCTTGAAAAATTCAAAAAAATAAAGAAATAATCTAGGTTTCTAGTAACAGGGCGTACGTTAAATAAACTTCAGTACATCTCTGTAATAGAGTATCACTGGATCATTAAAGATGATGAAAAGGCATTCACCATATAGCGAGTAAGGGGAAAAAAATACAAACCTAACATTTTACAATCCCATCTTAAAAAAGATATGCCTCTGCTATACACTAAAAGTGCTTATTTTTGTTTGGTGGGGGTTACAGGTTCTCCCCATCCTATCCCTACCCGTATTTCCTAAAATTGTCTACAATGAGGATGATGAGCTTTAGTTAAGAAGAAAATAATTACTAATGATAACAACACGACGAAAAAGTATTTTATGTGTCAGGGTAGCGAGAGAATGGCAGGGATAAGAAAAAGTAAATCTAAAGTTATTGGGTATTATTAGTTCTATAGATTTGGAGTTTTTTGATGCTCAGAATTTTTTGGGAGGGATAATGTAAGAAATACAGTTAATTAAAATTTCTGGTCAACTGAGACAGTGAAAAAAATAACCTTAATCTGTCAAAAACATCTTTTAAAGGTCTACTTTCTACACAAAATTTAATATTATCAGAATCAAGTTTTGGGGAAAAAGTCAATCACCACCATCACCATTGTTAACTTATCATTTAAAAATATACTAACAGTTACACTGGTGAGTAACTGTCAAAATACATGCTACTGAGGTTCTAGATAATGAATTTCTCTTTTTCTTGAATTCTTAAATACAGTTATAAAAAAAATGACAAACATGAAAAGGGGAGTTCTAGTTTTCTCTCAGAGGTCCTACTCAAAAAAGTCACTGTGTTCATTTCTTTTTGTTAAGAGTGTGTATCTGAAATATTAGCTCTTTAAAATCTTCAGTAGTATTTCAAAAAGGAACACAGGAAAGGATTATTATTTAAAACAAATTTTTAATCTTACTTTTTAATACAAGTAAAATGTCGGCAATTCCAGTAACTACATGATAGGCCTTCAGTTCAGTTTAATGTATTACTGACAGCCTTTAGGAAAATACTAAACTACAGTATATTACTTTGACCACATCCACTGAACTCAATTAAAGCAAACATTTTCCCCATTTTTCTTAAATTCTAGCCATTTCTTCAACCTATGGAAGGTGAAAATTACCTCATTCTGAAGGAAAATATTATCAAATTAGCTTATAATTGGCAACTTATATTTTCAAATAACAAAGCCCTCATTAAAAAATGTAGTCTTTCCTGAAACCGTCAATATAAGCTGATGTACTTAAGATGGTATTGCTTAGTAAGCAAAATTAACTAAAAACGTTTTTTCTCTAAACACCTTTCTTTAAAACAGAACCATAGAGTAGCCATTAACTTTTAATAGAAAATAATTTCAAGAGCAGATAATGTGTATGGGGAAAAGCTTGCTCAAATTCTGAGTAATAAAAAAAATGAACGTTTTGGGGATAAAACATAAAAGGCAGCAAAGAACACTGAAAAGAGCATGTCGGAAGTTCTAGGTTCTAGTTGCTAGTTCTAACACTAAGAAACCGAATGACCTCTTTATTTCTTGACTTTCTTACTTGTAAAGAAAGGGAAATTGTAATGATCTGTAAGGTCCCATTTCAACATTTAGTATTCCAGTATTCTTATGTTCAAGTTTTTAGCTGACTGAAAACAGAAACAGAACTGAATTAGACCCCCTATCCCACAAGACTATCCTTTGTCAAGAAAAGCTTCAGTCTTATTTTCATAATTTCTTCCAAGCAAAATAAATTAATAAATTAATTAAATAAAAGGAGACATATATTTAGTGTTTGTGCATCTTCTAATCAGATACTATTAATCATTTCTTTTAAAATTAAATTACCTACCTCACTGAGGTGTTGTGAGGATTAATTCATTAGTGTTTCTAAAGCACTTTGAGATCCTCAGGTCAAAGGCGCTATAGAAGTGCAAAGTAGTAGTATTATTACTAGATTCTTTTGTTTATTTAAGGAATTTCACAATCCTTTAAAACCTAACTTTAAAAAACCTAACTGTTATGATTTAGACATCTATTTGTAAATCCTGCAATTTATCCATACTTTTAACTTTTTAAATATAGATAGACAGGGGAAGGATGTTTCAAAACAAGTAATTTTGAAGATTTAACTGTGATCTATAGAGGGAGAGAGTAAGGGAAAAAACTCCAGTGTGACAGACTTTGTTTAGCATAAAATTTTAGTGAGAAATCCTGTCATTCAGATTTAGAAGTGTGCCTAAGTTACACCAAAAACAATACAAAACAAAAACCCACTTTAATTACATACAGATTCTGCAACAAGAAATTCCTTTCTTCAAAGAGAAAGGGAAACGATTTTCAAATCAACTCCAATTTAAAAGCTAGAAATAGGCTTGTAAATTACATTAAGGTACATGCATATACATGCAACTATCATTTAAACTCTTTATTTTTAAATTGCAAGAATAGCATTAGTATGAACTGATGACAAAATAACAGAGCTTTTTCTTTAAACTAGCTTCCCACCTCCAATTACACAAAGTAAACTAAGTATTGAAGAGGTCAAAGCAACTTTGCTTTAAGGGGTTTTAAGAGAAAAACTGTAACTGAGGGACAAGGCTTCAAAACTACAGAAAGATTCTGTCTTATTCCACCACTTCCCACCCCTTCCCTAGCCATTTTTTTTTTTTGTTTTTACAATTAAAGTTCTGTATTTTCAAATCAGAACAAAACACATACACGCACACGCGCACACACACACACACACAAGGCTAAGAGAACCAGAGCTATCTCTATACTGGGTATTCTGCTTGATAAACAGACACTTCTTTAAACAAATGGCCAACATCCTCTGGTGTAACTGACATTCTCCAGTGCAATACAAGTTCCATTCCCTAGATCAAAACAAAATTTAGATATTAAACTTTAAACTCTTACCTCCTGCTCCTGCTGAAAGATGACGACTCTACCACCTTTATCTCCTGTTGCTAGTAATTCTCCAGAATGATTAAATTCTACTGTAGAAATTATATCTGCTGTATAATTGAAACAAAAAAAGACATTAGAGTTTTTCTTTCCCAACTCACCAGTTTCAGAACTTAGAATGTCTTTCCTAATGTTCCAAGATTGTATAGCAACTGATGTTAAAATAAAGTGAATGTGAAGTTATTTCATGAATATTTTGGTCCACCAAAAGGCATTCTTGCCAGAATAAACCTAATGAAACTATTTTAACAAGCAGAAATGAAATAATAACAGTAGTTTATTAATATTTCACTAAATTTGCAAATGAAAAGAAACCAGCAAATTGTGAAACACTGTATGATAGCCCACTAAACATTTAATAATTATCTTGATAATTTTCTGTAATATACTTTTGATAAATTTGTGCATGTAAACCCAAAGATGATCTATAAAAAAATGAAGGCAGACATTACTAAAATAGGAGAAAATTAAAAAATGTAAAAATTATTTCAGATGGAATTCTAACAGTTACAAATTTGTAAATTCAAACAAAAGCTTGCAAATAGAACACACTTATACCAGAAACGCTGTGTGCTATGCACCTTCAATATGCACAGCTCTTCTTGTGGATCCCATGCATGACTGAAACCAATCATACTACACCCAAAGTTGGTCCTAACTTCACAGTCAAGTTCAAATAAAATTAGTTTTTTCCCTCTTCATTTTTGATACCAGAGCCATTTTCCTAAGTCTAAGTTATAGAATTAGGCATTAAGATGAAGCAATTACACTGTTACTAACAAGTTTTCCACCATAAAGCATTCAGCCAAGTTTTCCACCATAAAGCATTCAGCCAAATTAGGAAACACCTCATTGTATGCATTTTAAATAAACAAGTAAACTTCTTCTGTATGAGAAGAGTCATCTTCCCGTCTACATTAGCTCACTATTAAGACTTTAAGAATCTGACTTTATATATTAAACCTGTTGGTGTTGCACTGATTCCAACTCATAGCGACCCTCCAGGACAGAGCAGAACCACCTCATAGGGTTTCCAAGGCTGTATTCCTCACAGAAGCTGACTGTCACGTCACCTTCCCATAGAGCAGCTGGTAGGGTCGAACCACCAACCGTTTGGTTAGCAGCTGAGCACTTAACCACTGCGCTACCAGGGCTCCTTCACTTTATATATTAGGAACACTATACACTTTAAATAAAAAAATTTCCTGACCAATGTATTTATTTCTAGAAACTATTTTTAAGTTGCATTTTATCAATGATCTATGAGCACTGCATTTTATAATTTTCTTTCCATTGTCTAGGTCCAAGGCTCTTCATCTTTTTGAACTTTCTGAACCTACTGAAAGTTATACGTCCTCTCCTAAGAAACTGCACATACTTGAGTGCACACAAAATTTTTGCATATGATTTCAAAGTGTTTTGACAGTACTCCACCTCTAGTTAAGAACCTTGGCCCAGACTGACTGTGGTATCAAGAAAGAATAAATTTAGTGTTTATATTGCATGTATATGTAACACAATGCTTTAAAACTGAATATACTGGATCACTCTATAAAGCTGAACATCAGTAAATACTTAGCCATTCTATTATCTGCTCATTGCTGTATGAGGACTGTAGTGAATATAATAAAGGTTTAAAAACATACAATGTCCCTGCACTGAAAGCACATTAGATTACAGTTGGGAGAGAAAAAGTTAAGTAGGAGTGAACATCAGACAGGACATAAAGAGCCACATTTTACTTGAAGGTTAGGTTCCAAAATCAGGGAATAAGGCAAAAATCATACATATTCAAGTTAGCTTTTAAATTAAAATCCCTCAGATAGGCATCACTTTTCATATGCAAATTATCTCTCTTTTAAGTCCAGCCAATGTTTCCTACAGCACTGATAGTTTGCTGGTTCTTTGACCACCAAATGAACTAGTTAATTTGAATATAAAGTCATACTGAACCAAAAATATGCCATCTTTGAACTCTAAAATATGCTCTCAGCTTAGTGAAACACACCTGACTCTAAAAGCAGATTCATCCTCCTGTTTACTCAATGGGATAATGGGCAGAATTACTTCACTATTTTAATTACTTCATCTTTTTCCAGGTCCAAATTGTTGCATTCACCTAAGTTAAATAAATTGCAACTCTTGTTTGGTAGATGAGTTGTTATAGCTAAAATTTAGTAAAGAATATGTCAATGATCATGGTATGTGAAGAGCCTGCCCTGGCTTGACTAGTCTCTTTGCTGAGCAGTAGCAAAGAGTATGGGGAGGTAAAAGTGTAGTGCAGGATGGACTCAATTTCTAATAGGGGAGAAACCCTGATCTTAAGTGAATTAGAGAGCAGAAAACCTGGAGGTGATTAAATGGGTAAGGAGGTAATTACAGCGAAAAGGATTAAAGAAATTTGGGGTTGAGGGGACAGGAAGAGAGATTCCGCGTCTACATTATTCTTACAAGACAGATAATTAAGTAATAATTAAACAGTATGCATAGTACCCCAAATTGAAGATAGTATTGATTCACCTACCTACCTAGTTATTATGTGGTTGCTGAGTATGTGACGGGGAGGGAGGAAGGGAGAGAAAGAGAAAGACACTTTTACTGTGGTATATATCAGGAATAATAAGACATCTATTTTAATGCTTCACTTTAGGCCAGGGACAGTTATATGATGATGGGAATTCAAGAATAAAGTGATGAGATATATGTTTGGTAGTGAACCAGCTATGTGGCAAGAGTATCAAGATTTTCCTCTTCATCTTCCTTAAGGGAAACCAGGGATTAAAACTGGTGGTGGTGAGGAGACAAGGGGTAGGGCGGGGACAGGGATGGGGGGAGGAGAGACAAAACTTAAACCCAAAATTTTGAAATAAAACTGTCCCTTCTTCCAAAACGAAAGTCTCAACGTATTTTGGTTTTATTATTCCTGGTTTCTGCCACTCTGTCAAATGAAATAACTCACTTCAGCATTATTCACAAAGGTCTAAAGCAATTTAATTCACACATTTACAGAAATGTTTTCATTGCTTGAACAAGGGTCAATTACAGATGAAAAGAAAACACACCACTTAAACTTCAGATTTAACCAAAGTAATCTTGAATCTACAATTAAAACCTAATTTAGTTTAAATCAAATTAGGAAGGCAAAAATGAAAATCCAGTACTCCTGATCTTTGCAGCTCAAAAATAGCAAATGAAGATGTTTTATAAAATTATATAATGAAGATATATGCATTTATATATTTTCCTCAGAGCATGTGAAAGTAAATATTTAAATTCATAGTACCCTCTTTGCTTTTTTTTGTACCTTTCGTAAGCATACACAGTATAGTAACTGTCAGGCAAAACATTTGTTTTGGAAAATTTTTAAAAAATCATCTTTACTTTTTTGATGATGGCAATAACATATGTATTTATTTATATTGCTACTCTGGGGCAATCTGCTTCCAAAAGGTCATAGCCTTGAAAACCCTTGGGGCAGTTCCATTCTGCCCACATGGGGTCACCATGAGTTGAAACAGACTCCACAGCAACTAGCAACACAGCCCTGTGCTTATTAAACTTTTCCACATTAAAATTTAAGTGAGCATAAAACCTTAGCTAAATGCTGTGATCAGGAAGTAACCCTCCTTTTCCTAAGTCACCAGGCTTTTTTAACCCTCAAGATGCACCTACTTGAAAAGGAAGGACTGCTAGACCTTCTTTTCAACTGTTATTATTCAGCATCAAGAGCAAGTCAATTTCAGGTTAAATGCTACATCCAGCTTTGACCCTTCACCTGGCGCCTTGCTGTGTTCTAAAATGACCAGTATCACCTTGCACTTCTCCTATCAAAGCACTTACTAAATATACTTTGTCTTTCTTTGCCCTTGCTAGTCCCTCTTTTCACTGTTATAGTCCCAGCACTCAGTCCAATGCTTTGCATATAGGAACCCAATAAATACTGGCTGAATAATTAATAAGTGCACCAACTCTAGGTCTAGCCTGTATCAATTTATTAAAAGCCTTCTTTCCCCCAAACAAAGAAAAGATAGGGTGTCATGCAGTATGCAACAAAATTTAAGAGGCACACCTGAGATAGGCTGAGGAATCCTAAAAATAACTCAGCCAAATATCAAGAGGCTTAAAGTTCCACAACAGCAGGAAAGAACAAAAAATTTACACCATAAAAGTCAACCCACTTTAAACCCATGATGGGGAGAAATACAGGGTTATGGGAATACAATTTTCTCAACTTATAGATTTTCTTTCAACACTAGTGTTTGTTACTATTTATCTTGCTAAAAACCTATGGAAAAAAAAAAAGAGAAAACTTTAGAAACAGGAAATTATACTTAGTTGAAGCGCCTAGAGGTATTTTATTTGAGGAAGCAGAGATGGGCAGACTTGCAGCCTCATTACTGTGATTTTTATTCTGCATATATTTAATACAGCCATACTTCAGAAGGAAAATTTTTTCCTGATTTGTGTAATAGTTTAAATATAGCACTATTTCATGGTGCTCCTTCCTCCTTCTCATCCTAAAAAAAGAAAAGAAACACCATGATTTCTGGATACTAAACCATCTGTACACGTCTGAGAACTGTGTATACATAAACACCTACTAAACTTCCTCACTTATGGATGATAGTTTAAAGTTTTTCTAAGTTGTGAAATGCCGAGATCTAACAACGTCTCACTGGGAAAATGACAAATGAAAATGTCGAGTAAAAAGGGAGAATGAATCCAAATTTTGCTTACAGACGAAGAAAATGAGAATGAATTACGGAAAACACTATGAATCTCAGCTTTCTACCCTATGTGTCACTACATAGTGGAGTGCCAAGAATGGGTATAGGTTTGCCTGGATACTGCAGTACCCACAAATCTGTAACTACCAGTTGTGAGCAACCTCCTGTTATCCCACTGTGCCCTCAAAATTACTGTTTTCTATATGTGGCATAACACACAAAAAAGGAAACAGAGCTTTAAAAATTGTAGTCCTATATTGTGCTATATCCAAACAAGGTCAGCTAGGCGCTGTTATTTTTCAAAAATAACAATACATGTATTC